CCCCAAAACCCCAAAACCCCAAAACCCCAAAAAGATTGAAATAAAGGAAGTGTTGTTTGCTAATGAAAATATAACCATTAGCATACAAAATATATTTATTATAATAGGTTAAGGCTCTTCCAGATTAAAGAGATATATTGGCTAATCGATATTTGATTGATCAAACAAATGACTTCTAACTGTGTGTAATTCTTCCTTTGCTCAAACCTTGATTATCAGCTTGACCACTTATGCTGCCAACTCCCCCAGATATTTCAAAAACGCTTGGTCTGTTTCCCTAAGGTCCAGTGCCTTACAAGCTCTACTTGATTTTCAAGGTCTAGCTTGTTTGACCTAGTTCATCTTCGTTGTCATGACTTTAATCATCATCCTCACAGGACATAATAGACTCATTGATTTCCTCTGGCTAGCTCTTGATAGATTTGCCTATTTGATCATTAGGTCCCATCCATTGATTTTACTTCAATGATTTATTTTGATTTTGTGGAACCTTTATTTTATTGCTGTGAGCCACTGGCATTGAGCTTCTTTGATTCCTTGATTAGTAAATCTCTTGATCTAAGACAGCTATGTCCTTCTTCTATTCATTCTGTTTTTCAAGTAATCCACCCATGTTTTCTTTGCCTTAATAAGGTTGAACATGACTTGAAAATCGGTTTAAATTTACCACCATGTTGCTGGGACTGCTTCCCATATTATCAATTGCAATTTTACTATGATCAAGGAAGTTATTCATCTACTATACTCTTTGTTTAGAATTAGAATTAGCGTTCAATAATTAATCACTTTTAATTTTCATAGCATTTTCTTGAATGCTCATTCGTTGCTTATTATTTAGATCCGTCTAAAGTGACTTGAATTCGTCAAGATCTCCAAGAGTCTTACTCGGGTTTCCATAGAAAGAATTGTTTTTGGGATCAATTGGAGGCAAGTTACCTAAGATATCAGATTAGTAAGGCTAGCTGTAACTGATTTGATTGCTCTTATAAGAATCATTGACGTTTTGATTATTCACTTGACTTAGTCTATTGGCACTCTAGCTTATATTTAGTTAGTTGTTGTAATTATTTGTTGGCTAGTTGCCAATTTTATGACCAGGGTAGTTTCTTAGACTGAAGGAGTAGCTCTCCTCAACATCAAGATTTTTTATGTTTATATTAGACATGGATTATGCCAATTCCTCCTCTTTTACCTTTTCCTGAATAGTCTCAAGTTCTGATCTGTTTTTATTAAGCATTTTATTAATGAAGTCTTTCCTCTGCTTTGCCTGATTCATAGTGGATTTTGATATAGGGTTCGAAACATGCTTTTAATCGTCTCCTCCAGTGGCAAAGTGAATCACATTCATCATGTGTTAGTCATTTGAAAAGATCGCAGGAGCTTCGGAAGGGGAAGAATGATTTGAAAGATCTGCTGAATTGTTGGCAGAACTCCCTTTTTGTGACACATCATTATTGTTTACCTTATCATAATTCACAAGGCCTAGTGGACTAGTATTAGCTAGACTTCTATCGGTCAGCTGATTTTGTAGATTTAACTCAGAGCTATTAGAGTGATTAATGATATTATTAAAATTTGAATCTTACGAATTCACAGATTGATGCTTGTTATTACCGATGTTTGGATTCATCTGACTGCTATTTGAGTTCATTTAACTCAGTATTTATTATTCCTACAATTTTTGATGCTCTATTTTCTGACTTGTTGACTTTTTCTTTGATTTACAAAAGAACTTTCTGATTGAACTTTTCCTCTCAACGTGATTAAAGCTATTGCTACCATTTTAACCCCCCTGCAGTTGATTAATACCAGCTGGGCCTTAGCCATCTTTTACTTAAATAAGACTATCGTTGCACTTATTTTTATCTTCAGAAATGATCTCTTGGAATTCCTTATCATCATCAATTGCCTTATTTGTTTGTAAATTAGATTAAATCATGGCTGCATTATCTGTCTCAAGATTGCCTTGATTTTCATTATGATTTTCCTCCGCATCTTCATGATGAATTTCCTTGAAGATTTTAGATTTATAATTCATTCGGCCCTGCTTGATTTATATATACTCAAAAGTAGTTAGTTGCTTTTTTTACAGGAAAATGTGGAAGGATATTAAATGACCTAAGAAACCTATTGCTGCTGTATTAAAAACTATTGAAGTTATTAAGATTGTCTTGAATTCGGTTGTCATAGGATGCTTATAAAACTAAATAAAAGTTGTACATGACAAATAATCTAATTACCTTGAAATTTTGATTCTTGAGTAAATAGCTGTCGTCACTGTCTAAATAAAATAATACAGCTGCATCAGTGGCATTATGAAGAACAGTCATTGCAAAAAAACTGCAAATAACTCTAAAGAAGTAGACATAATTGCCCTCTCCAATGCAGTTATTGAGCCATCTGCAATGATGATCAAATCCACTAACGCATCTATTGCATTGCCCACAATGCTTTGCAGAGTTTTACACTGGTGACTCGCAAACTTCACAATATAAATCATACGGTGAGCTGTCAAAATATTCTCTATAACAATGAGTAAATACATCAAATGCATTATTACCCTGTCTTTTCAGCCTGACGATTCTTATATATTGTTGGGTCAGTGGGATCGTACCTTGTTGATCGAATAGCATAATAGAGAACAGCAATGAAAATTATCAAATAAGCTACTCCTAGTACTATTGATATTGCAGGCTAATATGAAAAGGTGACTATGTTAATGAAATAAAAGGCATAGGAATCTAGGCCAAAGATAACCCAAGAGATTATTTAAAATGGGTGAAATGGCATAGCAAAACCATTCTTTCGTACGTTCTTTTTGATAATTTTGACTTCACCTATTTGGCTGTCTGTATTATCATGGTCGTGATTATTTTAATCTTAGTGATCTGGTTTATCAAGAGCATTTTGTTCATTTTCCAAGTCTATGGAGGATTTCCTGACTTTATCGGGGGTTATACTGGTCTGCAATTTGTGCAAATCATCGCTGCTTGTCGCTTACATTTTATATTTTACCTCAGAATATAATATAACATCAATTTAATTCAAATTTAATAATTTGATTTCTTCTTTTACCTTCTTGACCCCTATATTAATAATTGAATTTAAAATTTAGCGATTTAATGGAAAGCACAAACACATAATAGGAAAGTACCGAAGCAACTTAACAAAATTAGGAAGAGAGTGTGTCTGAATTACAGCAACAGAATGTAGAGAGTGAAGATGCTTTCAATGAGGACGAGGATCCTTTAAGACAAGAGGATAACCTTACTGCAGAGCAGGAGGCCACACTATTTGCGTTTTTACAAAAAGTACAAAAAGCTTGCAACACTGATGACAGTCTTCCAGATTTCATTGGAGCTCAGGTTTAAGACTGGCTATAAGAGTTGGAATAGAAAAAAGTAGAGGGTGACTAATAACTTGCATAAGATGATTAGTAAACCTAATGAGTATGTTCATTATAACAATGATTTGTTAGTGTATATGTTGAAAAGCATTAATTTTCATTTATTTCTAAATTTTAACAAGACAAAGATATACTAGGAAGGAGGGGTTTTGGGGTTTTCAAATATGATGCATCAGATTAA